TCTCGACCTGGTAAAAGTGGGTTGGCACCTAGGCCTAATGGCAAGGTGGGTTAACAATTGTGCTCTCTGACGAGCTCTAAATGACATAAAATTTAGTCAGGATGAAACCGAGCTTGTTGGGCCGAGAGCGTCCCAATCTCAGGATGGCCGTGTTAGCATCTAGCAACTAGATGCGCCACTGCTCAGTGGAATGTGCTTAGATCAGAGCCTATGACAGACGTGTGTAAAGACTGGTTTATATAGTATTCGGCTGATGGCAGCCGAGTGGTGAACAAGTGTAACCCTTGTCCATGTCATTTGTGCTCGTGTTTATTATATTATGACCATAATATAACACATTGGTACTCAAAATTGCCTCTTTACTGAAAGAGAAAAATTGGAAAAGTATTATTTCTGATGAATTTTTTTTAATTACCGATATTCATATTTTCTCAAATATCTCGAGAACGGCACAAAATATCAAAAATCTGAATCGAAAAATACACCAACACTACTGTCGAATTCCGCAACGACCTACCACATGGAGAAAGTCCGAACATTATATCACGAAAAACAAAAAAAATTAGTACGACGTCATGACGCGAAATAATTCTGAGTTCATTGAAAAAGAGAAGTGAGTGACAAGTGTATGTTTTTCGCCCGAAAATCGATAGAAATCAAGACGACCAACGAAAAAGTCTCTATTCATTGGTACTCAAAATTGCCTCTTTACTGAAAGAGAAAAATTGGAAAAGTATTATTTCTGATGAATTTTTTTTAATTCCCGATATTCATATTTTCTCAAATATCTCGAGAACGGCACACAATATCGAAAATCTGAATCGAAAAATACACCAACACTCCTGTCGAATTCCGCAACGACCTACCACACGGAGAAAGTCCGAACATTATATCACGAAAAACAAAAAAAATTGTACGACGTCATGACGCGAAATAATTTCAAGTTCATTGAAAAAAAAAAGTGAGTGACAATTGTATGTTTTTTGCCCAAAATTCGATAGAAATCAAGACGATCAACGGAAAATTCTCTATACATTGTTACTCAAAATTGCCTCTTTACTGGAAAAAAAATTGGAAAAGTAATATTTTTGATGAGATTTTTTCAAGTCCCGATATTCATATTTTCTCAAATATTTCTAGAAAGGCACAAAACATCGAGAATATATATCGAGAAATACTCCAAAACCCTTGTCGACTTTCGCAAAGGCCTACCATATGGAGAAAGTCCGAACACCGTATCACGAAAAACAAAAAAAATTAGTACGACGTCATGACGCGAAATACTTCAAAGTTCATTGATTAAAAAGAGGTGAGTGACAAGTGTATGTCTCCCGCCCAAGATTCGATAGAAATCAAGACGACCAACGAAAAAGTCTTCATAAATTGTAACTCAAAATTACCTGTTTACTGGAGGAAAGAATTGGAAAATTATTAGTAGACATGTGTATCAAAGCTGTATGTGAAAACATGAAAACAGTACTCGGGTTCATTCTCAGATCCATCTACCCCCACCATCAACGGAAAAAGTGGTGAAAAATTTCGCAAAGTACAAATGGCTCAAAATTGATTAAGAAACAGTGCCTTACAACGACTTGATTCTGCTGGATTTTTCAGATCAATACTACTATGACATCGACCTTTCTTCAGATTTTCGAAAGGCACTATTAGATGTTTATAATTTAGAGGCTTTTTGCGGCAAGGATTGTTTTTGTTCACTGAAAAAATGTTATAAGAATGAAGAATTTAATTTATCTGTTTGTGAAACGTGTGAGAAATTATTCGCCACGTTGATAAAAGAATTTCAAGACAAAGAATTAAATTTCAGCACTGATAGTGAGCACAAAATTATCACTAGCAATGAAATACACGATCTATACCGCAACAAGTCAAATTGGTGTCAAAATGATTTTCACAATGTTGTGTTTAAGCTGAAAGATCGCGATGACTGTATTCACGATCTTCATAAATATAAGAAACTCAAATTTTGCTGATTGTGTTTTACCAATGTATAGTTCTCATCAGAAACAAAAAAAATGTTACTTAATTTCTAAGAATTTTTTTTTTGCATTATATAGCTTCATATGATTTTTTTTCAGCGTCATGTAGTTTTTGTTTTTAAATGAATATCTTGTAGTGTCATGATGATTTCATGAAAAATAAAAAAAATAGTCAAGCAACTTTGCGCTTCAATTAAGCTACAGCTTTATAGATTTTTATTTTGCAGCTCCATATGTAGTTTCGTTTTTTTTTTTTGACAATGATTCAAGAAACTTTGCGCTTCTGATTAAGCTTCAGAGTGTTCACACAATAATTGCTTATATATGAATATAGGAAAAATTTCATGAGGTTGAACATTCAAGAAACTCTGTGCTTTCGATCAAGCTACAGAGTCTTCACACTATAGGTATTATAAATATGAAAAGAAATTGAATTAGCTAGGTTCTGACGCTGGTAGGTAGGTAGGTAGATAGGTAGTTTATATATTTTCGCTGTTTTCTTTTCGATGAAATAAAAAACGAATTCAAGAGAATTTGTGTGCTTCATTTATTCTACATGACAGCTCATTATCATGGTGACTCGATGTGAAACAAAACCAGTATTAGTATTCAATGATTTTTATTACATGACATTATTCACAATTATCATAAAACAAATATTCTCGTAGAGCCCCCGCATGAATGCTGTTTGGAGCAGATGCTTCACAAAGTCCAGTAATGATTTCTGTAAGTGTCAAAGTACATTTATTTTTATACAGCCATGTAGTGGCAATGTTGAAAAAATTGTGGTAATAATCATGAAAGTCCAACGCATCCAACATGGCAATTCGATCAGATGCCACACCCATATGTGTTTTCGAAATTTCCGTGACATCCTCTTCATTCAAGGTCATATCTGTGACATCTTTGCGAATAGAAATTTGTTTCACACATCAATCCATGAAATGATGCAATGTCACAAAGTCTCCACACTTTATCATCACAGGTTCATACTCATCGGGATAGCTGCTGTTGTTCCTGCTAACTGTAGCTTTGAAGAAGGATTGTTTGACGTCCCTCAATATATCTATGATGGAAGCCCACTCGTATGTGTTGAAAGATATTTGTTTCGTTGAATATCGTTGTTTCAGGATCACACAGGCGCTGAAATCTCTCGTAGGACTGAGGCCACATCAAATTTCATAGCAGGACATAGGAAACACCATCAACAAGAGAGGATTTTCACTTTGTGCTTCTATTTCATACCGAATCATTCCTGTGTTCTTAGTACTAACATTGAATTCTTGCTGAGCTGCACTTTCGTACTTGTTCAAGGCATCATCAATAGCCTCCAGAGTTTGCCGATAATCATCGCTACTATTACTGCTATCATCAAACTCCATTCCACCACTACTAATGCTGCTGCAATTGCATATATCACCACTATCACCAGACATTTCGAACTCTCTACTGAAATGACCGTTCAGACTCATGAGATTATTTATAGTTGGAAATCACGAACGTGATACTGATGTGATTTCCTGTTTTTCCAGTTATAAATCTGATGTTGATTCACATGCAACAAAAGGCCCCATCAAACATGTGAAACTGTTCGTATTTTCCATAAGATCCGATACTAAATCAGCGTTTTCGATCCAGCTGTTGTGTGTATTGTCTAAACCCATCCATTTGACGTACATTTTCTTCCCCTTTTTTCTCAAAACCTTTTCAATCAGATAGATTTGAGGGTTCATAGTTTTCTGCAATTCCTCTTCATAGAAAGCACCACTGATTGGTGAACCTTGCATGTCTTCCAGCATGTAGGTGGCAGGATTGGTTATTTTGCATTTGATGATTTCAAATAGTTCAGTAGTCCAATTTGGGGTGTATCCTTTTTCAAACACATGCTTAGGATTGCTTATGCGAACAATGTCACCAAGTTTGAGTTTTCGCGGGCCAGCAATTTTCAAGTGGGTGAACGATCTGCTTAGAATTTGCTTTTCGTCGGATTTATCTACTTCACATGATTTGAAACCGATTTCACTGTGATGTGTATTATTGTAGGTTTCTGTAATGGTGGGTAATACGTCTATCCATTTGTAGGTGCCGTTCAAGCTGAAGTATTTGAATAATTTCTCTTTCAATGTCCTGATTACACGTTCCGCTATGGCTGCTTTCTTGATGCTGTACGAACTATAATGATTAATGTTGTACGTTTCCAGCAGACTGCGGAACTTGCTATTGCAAAATTCCGTTACTTGATCAGTTTGCAAATTTTTCGGACAGCGTTTTGTGTGCGTCAAAATATCTGCAAACGTTCTCGTTATTTCCTCACCGGTTTTCGTTTTCAATGGCCGAGTCCAAAACGTATCTGGAAAAACAATCAATCACCACCATTATTAGTTTGAAATTCCGATTTTGATGTGCTGCATACTGACGCATTTCAGCCAGATCCATTTGCCATAAGTCATCTATGCCTTTAATGATAGTACGTAGATGTGGACAGTTTTTACGAGCAGTAGCTCATTGACAAGTTTGATTTTTTCCTGAGATTGTGACATAGTTTATATATATATATATATATATATATATATATAATTTATGGGGGGATGTGAGGTAAGGAGATAATAGAATGACACAGTTGAAGACAAACATTGTATTCATGTATTTTTCATAGACACTTCTTTGCTTGATATTGGTGTTTTCGGATCAACGGTCTGATACACGTTCTTTGCGAGGCCATCTCCGATCTGAGCAACATTATCAGCCAGCTGAATCACTGTCTGATAACTCTGTTGCTGCTCATTCTTCAGAGTACTTATACTTTTAGTATTATCTTCGAGTAATTTCAAAACTTCTGCTATGCCCTTTGCATTCGAGGTCACATCTTTTTCTAGTTTGGGCAACGATTCTTTGAGGGAATGTGTCATTTGCATAGCTGTATTCTGCACCTTGGTGGTCAACTCCACCAACTGGGTATTCTGAGAATCATTCACTTTTGTGAATTTGTCTCTTTTGACATACTCGTCAGTTGCACTCTTGAAATCTGTCTGGATTCGCGCTAGGGACTGTTTCACGTTATTTCTTATCTGGTCCACGTATTCCTTGTTTGCAGCATCCTTTTTCAAAATAGGTGTTTTGACATTGCACAAATTAAAATAACCGAAATCTATATCGCCTTTAGGAGTATGTGCTAAGCCGCCGTCGCCTGATGCAATCACCACCAGTTTTCGTTTTCTATTCGTCCGAACTTATCGATTGTCATCTTTGGAATGACTGATATTTCATAAGCTTATATCTGTTGTATAATGTTTGCCTTCTTCAGTTCAGAAATAATGGATTCAATCTCATTGTCGAGAGAAGTATTTCCAGCCTGTTTTGATGCTATGAGCAATCTCAAACGGTCACACAACTCATTAGGATCATCCCAATAGATGTATTCCACAGGCTTGGTATTGTACGTATTCATCATGGGTTCTCGGTTCTTGATATCTTGGTGGATCTTCAAGCCCCGTCCCATTGTACCACGTCGTGTTCTTGCTTGCGAGGCTGCGGCTGCTGCTGATGGTGGTGGTGGTGGAGGCAGAAACAAAGGTCTAACGATTTCCCTGTACTTGAATCGTGGACTATGTTTGATCTTCCCATTCACATTCAGATGGGCCTTTGATAGTTCCAAAATTTGTTTGTAGTCATACAGATCATCTTTATTGTAATTTTCAGGGACATCGTAGAATATCAGTCCATATATACCAGGAGTTCCTTTCACTTGTTCCCCATCATTTTTGATGTAGCCAGTACGTGCATCAAAATCGATTTCTTTGCAGCCAAGCCTCCATTTTGAATTGCTAGAATCATATATAGGACCATATATCTTGTCTATTTTATCGCTGTTGGTCCAATGTTCTTTCATGAATGGAATGCTCATTGGAGGATATTGTTCCAGATATGCCTCAATAGCTGCAGGATCAAAGCACTCCACATCACCTTCATCTTCTCCTACATCTCCTTCGATCACTTTATCACCAAAACTTTCGCCACTCGCACTAGCAACACGTTCAAGTTTCCGAAATGGTAGTCCATAAGCTTCTTCTTCTTCTTCTTCTTCTTCTTCTCCCTCTTCCTTTTGAACTTTCTCTTCCTTTTTCGGTAGCGAAGGTTCATTTTTGATAGCTGTACTGTATAATGAAGTGTTTGCTGCTATTATTTCTTTTAGTGGTGCAGATACAGGTTTCAAGAATTTCTGCAACGTTTCATCCTCCTCTGATTTGCCTAATTCCAAAGCTAAATATTTCTTTTTTATAGCCTTGGCTATTTCATTGATTTTATTTTTGAGAACGACATCCACTTCTTTGCTGAGTGGTTTCATGTTGACAAATAGGCTTTATCACATCGAGTTCATACTTTTATAAACTTGTCGAAGCCTTGACGATAGCGACCTGCGTTCAGATCGTGATCCTTAACAATAACCATTGCACCATATTTTTCACTCCAACAATCCGCACAAGTTCGCTTGAATTGATCGAATGTCATGTCAGGCGAGTTCATCAAACACATGCTTCAAATTCACCTCATCCTGTTTGAAGAGCACCACTAGGTTGGTGTTGTCGCGCAACATTTGCTTGGGAGCTTCACTGTACGTCTGTCCTATGTATATAGCATCGATACCTCGATGACGACACATGGAATAATACTCTTGAATTTTCTGTTGTGAATCGCACGATATGTCATCGAAAATGAAAATGGAATTTGGTTTTGCTTCACTGGGGCCCATAATTTCCTCATTAGCTTTGAATGGAGAATATCCAACACCTTTGACCATTCTCAGTATCTTTTCAAGCAACTGGTATTTGGGTTGGTACAGCGACTTTGATCATCTCACATAGATACCACTGGAGCATATAAGTTCGCAACGATCATATGAGACGACATCGAAGCGGGTATAACGCACACAACAGGCAGAACAAGAAACTTCGACTTCGACTATGTTTACTTTGTAACTTTGCATTATATGTGAGTGGAGTACTATACTTTTTCATATCCACCAAAAACTTTGATTCAAACAATCAAGAGTCGGTAAACCGGCGTGTTCGCCAAAACTTCGAATTTATCAATCTTGATAATAAGTCGGATATACATCTTATAGGTAGACATTGTCTAGTGTTTCCTAAATCAAAATAACGCTTACAACAGAGAGAGCAAGAAACTTCGACTTCCACTATGTTCACACTCTAGAATCTGACGATCGCACTGACCATATGAGACAACTTTGAAGGACTTATAACGAGAACAATAGGCAAGTAAAGCAACTTCGTCAACATCAGTCTGCACACTGTATCTCTGTATTCAATCACCTCACATGAATTTCTGTGGAGCATATTAGTTCGCATCGATCATATGAGACGACATCAAAACGGTTATAACGCACACAACAGGCAGAACAAGAAACTTTGACTTCGACACTGTAACTTTGCATTCTAGAATCTGACATGCCTGGAGCTATAGCAGATTCAATCGCACTGACCAAATGAGACGACTCCGAAGGATATATAACGAGAACAATAGGCAAGTGGAGATAGTTCGACAACATCAGTCCGCACACTGTTTCTCTGTATTCTATCACCTCACATGAATTTCTGTGGAGCATATCAGTTCGCATCGATCATATGAGACGAAATCAAAACGGGTATAACCCACACAACAGGCAGAACAAGAAACTTCGACTTCGACTATGTATACACTGTAACTTTGCATTCTAGCATCTGACATGCCTACAGTTATGGCAGATTCGATCGCACTGACCATATAGGACGACTTCGAAGGACATATAACGAGAACAATAGGCAAGTGAGATACTTCGACACTATCAGTCTGCACACTGTTTCTCTGTTTTCTATCATCTCACATTGATACCTCTGGAGCATAAAAATTCGCAACGATCATATGAGACGACATCGAAGCGGGTATAACGCACACAACAGGCAGAACGAGAAACTTCGACTTCGACCATGTTTACTTTGTAACTTTGAATTCTAGCATCTGACATGCCTACAACAATAGCAGGTACGATCGCACTGACCTTATAAGACGACTTCGAAGGACATATAACAAGAACAATAGGCGAGTGAAGATACTTTGACAACATCAGTCTGCACACTGTATCTATGTATTCTATCAACTCACATGGATACCTTTGGAGCATGGTAGTCCGCAACGATCATATGAGTTGACATCGAATCGGGTATAACGCACACAACAGGCAGAACAAGAAACCTTGACTTCGACCATGTTTACTCTGTAACTTTGCATTCTAGAATCTGACTATCGCACCGACCATGTGAGACGACTTTGAAGGACTTATAACGAGAACAATAGGCAAGTGAAGATACTTCGACAACATCAGTCTGCACACTGTATCTCTGTATTTTATCATCTCACATAGATACCTCTATAGCATATAAGTTCGCAACGATCATATAAGACGACATCGAAGCGGGTATAACGCACACAACAGGCAGAACGAGAAACTTCGACTTCGACTATGTTTACTTTGTAACTTTGCATTCTAGCATCTTGAATGCCCATTCAAGAAGTATATATGACAGCCCATTATATGTGAGTGGAGTACTATACTTTTTCATATCTACCAAAAATCGGTTCCAACAATCAGGAGTCGGTAAACTGGCGTGTTCGCCAAAACTTCCAATTCATTAATCTTGATAATAAGTCGGTTATACATCTTATAGGTAGACATTGTCTAGTGTTTCCTGAATCAAGATAACCTTACCACAGGAAGAGCAAGAAACTTCGACTTCGACTATGTTTACACTGTAACTTAGCATTCTAGCATCTGACATGCCTAGAGCTATAGCAGATACGATCGCACTGACCATATAAGACGACTTCGAAAGACATATAACGAGAACAATAGGCAAGTGGAGATACTTCGACAACATCAGTCTGCACACTGTATCCCTGTATTCTATCATCTCACATAGATACCTTTGGAGCATTGTAGTTCGCAACGATTATATGAGTCGACATCGAATCTTGTATAACACACAAAACAGGCAGAACAAGAAACTTTGACTTCGACTATTTTCACACTGTAACTTTGCATTCTAGCATCTGACATGCATACAGTTATAGCAGATACGATCGCAATGACCATATTAGACGACTTTGAAGAACTTATAACGAGAACAATAGGCAAGTGAAGATACTTCGACAACATCAGGCCGCACACTGTATCTTTGTATTCTATCATATCACATGGATACCTTTTGAGCATATCAGATCTCAACAATCATTTGAGACGACATCGAAGCGAGTATAACGCACACAACAGGCAGAACAAGGAACTTCGACTCCGACTATGTTTACACTGTAACTCCGCATTCTAGCATCTGACATGCCTGGAGCTTCGAAGGACATATTACGAGAACATTCGGCAAGTGAGGATACTTTGACAACATAAGCACACTGTTTTTCTGTATTTCAACATCTCACATGGATACCTCTGGAGCATATCAGTTCGCAACGATCCTATGAGACGACATCGAGGCGAGGATAACGCACATAACAGGCAGAACATGAAACTTTGACTTCGACTATGTTTACACTGTACCTCTGCATTCTAGCATCTGACATGCCTAGAGCTATAGCAGATACGATCGCACTGACCATATAACACGACTTCGAAGGCCATATAACGAGAACAATAGGCAAGTGGAGATGCTTCGACAACATCAGTCTGCACACTGTTGCTCTGTGGTCTATCATCTCACATGGATACCTCTGGGGCATATATGTTCGCAAAGATCATATGAGATGACATCGAAGCGGGTATAACGTACACAACAGGCCGAATGAGAAACTTCGACTTCGACTATGTATACTTTGTAACATTGCATTCTAGCATCTTGAATGCCCATTCAAGAAATATATATGACAGCCCATTATATGTGAGTGGAGTACTATACTTTTTCATATCCACCAAAAACTTCGATTCCAACAATCAAGTGTCGGTAAACCGGCGTGTTCGCCAAAACTTCGAATTTATCAATCTTGATAATAAGTCGGTTATACATCTAAAAGGTAGACATTGTCTAGTGTTTCCTGAATCAGGGAGAGCAAGAAACTTCGACTATGTTCACACTGTAACTTAGCATTCTAGCATCTGACATGCCTGGAGCTATAGCAGATACGATCGCACTGACCAAATAAGACGACTTCGAAGGACATATAACGAGAACAATAGGCAAGTGAGGATAGTTCGACAACATCAGTCTGCCCACTGTATCTCTGTATTCTATCATGTCACATGGAAACCTTTGGAGCATGGTAGTTCGCTACGATCATATACATCGAATCGGGTATAACGCACAAACGCACTCAACAGGCAGAACCAGAAACTATGATTTCGACTATGTTTACTCTGTAACTTTGCATTCTAGCATCTGACGATCGCACTGCCAAATATGACGACTTTGAAGGACTTATAACGAGAACAAAAAGCAAATTAAGATACTTCGACAACATCAGTCTGTACACTGTATCTCTGTATTCTATCATCTCACATGGATACCTCTGGAGCATATCAGTTCGCAAAGATCATATGAGACGACATCAAAACGGGTATAACGAATACAACAGAGAGAACAAGAAACTTCGACTTCGAATATTTTTACACTGTGGCTCTGAATTCTAGCATATGACATGCCTACAGATGGAACAGATACGATCGCACTGACCATATAGGAAGACTGTGAAAGACATATAACGAGATAAATAGGCAAGTGAGGATACTTCGACAACATCAGTCTGCACACTGTATCTCTGTATTCTATCATCTCACATGGATACTTTCGAAGCGAATTAGTTCGCAACGATCATATGAGACGACATCGAAGC